AAAATGTTATAATTGCATAGTGGTAACTGCCTGCAATTTCATACTTGGGGTGTTTGAAAGTTAAGAGAAGGTGAACATAATTAAACATAACTTATTCAAATAAGGACCACATTTGCATAATTTATGAGAAAATGGCATTCTTTGTTAAGATAAGACTGTCTTTTGGTGGAGAATATGATCAACAGACTGATATAATTCATGCAATTGAGGATCCTATTTGCATAATCAGGGTGATTAGTATATTTCTTATTCATAAAGGCTAACATCATTTGGCGAAGGTATGAGATCGTGGAACTCTAGTTTATTGTTATTATGATTTCTGTTCTGCATCTACTTTGTTAATTATTTTTGTTATTATGATTTGCAGTTCTGCATCCACTTGTTATTTACTTATTGTTATTATGAGTTGCAGTTCTGCATCCACTTTGTTATTTATCATTGTTATTATGATTTGCAGTTCTGCATCCACTTTGTTATTACTTATCGTTATTATGATTTGCAGTTCTGCACCCACCTTTTGATTTACTACTGTTTATGGTTTGCAGTTTTGCAACCTCTTTTTGTAACAGTTTTGTTACATTAATCATCCATGACCTCTGACCTATCCCCGTTCACTTAAGTTCAGTTTTCAGTTAATGTTGTGTGCGTTATGTTATTTTTTTTTATTAAGACTTACACCTTTTGTTATGTTGGTTTTACTTTCATGTACATTTGTTTTGTTCTGTTCTGTACATTTGTTTCATTGTAATTTTGCGACTCCAGGAAGAATAGATTTCAGGTAAATCTAATGGAGATCGAATAAACAAACAAACAAACAAACAAACAAACTCCGTCAGTCTTGTTCACGGAATGGACCCTTGTACTGCAGCTTCCGGGACGTGACGTCGGAAACACGTGATTGCAGCAGAGGATCGTACGTGTCAGATAACCTGTGTCGCCCCCGTCTCTGTTCAGTGTTGGACGGTTGGCCCGAATGTTCACCGCCTCCTTCACTCCTCTCGCAAAGACACTTGGTGTTGGTCACGTAAAGTTTAACTGTTATCATAATGTTATATACCAACACAGATGAACTTTCATGCTCATATTTGTCCTGTTGTTTCTCTAAACATTGCCATCATTGCCATTACCCTTAGGCATGATACATTGGTGAGGTGAGGTGATGATACATTGACATTGACCGTGACCGCTATGTTCCAGATGATCCACGTACAGATCCAGGTGAATTCCAGTGACGCAGACCTGCAGGTGTTTGCTCGCACCTGTGTGGCCACGCCTAGCGACGACCCTGACGACAAGACACGGAATGACGTCATCGTCGACGGGTCAGTCTCACGTACCATGTAAACAAACAGTGTCAGGAACAAAATAAAATGCTTTCGTTGCAAGCATCTACCTGTCATGCTTCTGTAGATGAATAAGAAGTGTGTGTTTTTTTTTCTTACAAGAGGCGCAAAGCTGCCGACGCTGCAGTTCTACCCGTCACCCAGTCCGGACTGGGGGCGCTTCGGTTTCCAGGCGTTTGTCTGCACCAGCGGCGCTCCCACGGCAATGTGCACTGTACAAACTCTATTGTGTTCCTAGAGGGACAACTAGCTGGATTTATCTGTGCCCATTTCAAAGGTAGTTTCGAAAGTACGTTTTGGCGATCTTACGCTTTTGTACTGACTCCTGTTAGTTTATTTTCGCTTTGTCAAGTCTGAATTGATACTACACTATCAAAACAAATTCCTTCGGAACTTTGTGATGGCTACTCAACTACAGTGTAACATTAAATTCATACATTTGTGGACACTTTTACATTCTGGTTAACCCTTTACAACAAAAATATTTCTATGTCTTCTTAGAAAAGAACCTTTCTCTTTTATACTCGTTTGCACCCACACCACAAATGGCCAGTTTACCAGGTTTTTACCAATTATATACGGTTTCCAAAATTTTGTTTTCATTGGTTCTGTTGCCTCCTGGTGTCATCTGATCTGCTATTTTCGTAATTTCCTTTATTTCGATACCCTTTAGCCCAAAAGGCTAATCCTCCAGGGCTTATACAGAAATAAAAAAGCACAATATACGGCAAATAACAGGGAAAAATAATACACATTAAGCACAAAAATTAAATGAAAGTAACATAATCTATCTATAGGTTACAGAACGTTGTATGAAGAACTGTAAGGTGGCTTTTATTTGATGTGGATCTAATGGGAAGTGGTTTGATGTGCTGTGGTAGTTTGTTCCAAGGGTGGATTGCCCGGTACTAAAAACTCAATTGTGCTATATGGGCCTCCTTGCACTCACTGGCCCGAGCAAATCGGCTAGAACTGAACGTTGTGTGAGAAGGGTCACCGCTGGAAATAGTTGAAACAGAAGAGTTCGGAGGTGTCCTCTCCCTATAAAACACTCAGAGTTTTAGTATATTTTTAATCGAAGCAAGGACCTATGTACCAAGCACCATCTGTGTGTGTGGATGTTGATCAGCACCAAGGGGTCGTGTGGTGCAGTCGGTAGCGCGTTCGAGGTCACACCCAAGAGGTCGCGGGTTCGAACCCTGTCTATGTCACCGATTTTGTGCCCTTGGGAAAGGCACTTTACACGACTTTCCTCACTTCACTCAGGTGGAAATGAGTACCTAGCTTCGGTTAGGGACGTCCCTCGGACAGGACGTGGACGGTAAATGGACGGTCCCATGTTTGGGGACAGCCACACCCCACGCACGTTAAAAAAAACCCACCGAACTTATCGAAAAGAGTTGTGGATCTTCCCGGTGGTTCAAACCTTACAGCCTGGTCTTACGCAGCTTGTACATGTACGTACATGTAGGTGTGTTACGCCTAAAGGCGGTTTACCGGTTATGCGAAACAAACAAAAGGACAGACATGTGCGGATGGTTCTTAGCAAAAGGGACATGTTGAATTGCCTTGAGTTGCCTTCTTAAATGTAGAAAACCACGGTATCAGATAGAAGTTATCATGGAATAAAAAGGAAACATAAAACACAAAAGAAACTGCAACGCTAAGAACTTTTTTGTATTTCATGCAGATCCTAAAGTACTACATTTCTTTCTTGTGAGTCTGGCCGGGACCAACCGGGGCTACATCCCCCACGGGCACCAGCGTAATGAGGACCAAAGCATAATGATCTTTTAAACTCAATACATTATAGCTGGTATTTGTTCCAGCTATTGTCTCCCAAATTTACTTAATTCGTGTTACCATTAACCGATTAACTTTTTAACCGATAAACTAGGTATGATTCTGCCATCAGTAGGACATTGTGTGCTTGTACATTGTATCGCAAAAGGTAACAATAATAACAATAAAAGTAATAAAGCAGTAAAATATTAATATTCTTTTCGCACAACGTCTATGTACGAATCACCATTTCTGAATTCCTGTCTTCCATATATTCAGGAAATCTATATTTGAATGTTTATCTCCTTTTTAACAAGTAAACTTGATGTGATTCTGCCATGAGAATAGTCATGTATAGACAGTATCACTGTTTTGTATTTTTTATGCACATTGTCTATTTATTTGTCGGCATGGTGGCCTTGAAAAGGTGCACTTAGGTCCACCTGTTCCACCATGCCTTCCATGTACATGTGTATGTGGTGAATTGTAATAAAGGAATAAATAAATACCTCAGAAGGACACTGTGTGCCATGTCTAGATATGTAATTAGTAATAATAAGTAATAAAACCTGCATGTTATAATGGCATAGCGTCTACTTCTAAGACAAGTCTCCCAAACCTTACTCAACTCTAGTGTTGCCAAATTAATACCAAGTACACTTGGTATGATTCTGCCAACGGAAGGATCATACTAAGCATTGTTACATCATAGGGAAATATGCGGTTCCAAATGTAAAGTGTTTCTATATATAAGATTTGTTAACTGACAATACTGAGCTGTCACAGTCCCAAATAGAAATTATTAAAAGTCTTGTTACATTTGTATTGTTAGGAATCATAATAGTTACAAACAATAAGAAAACCAATGTCAGTTATTAAGAATGTGATCCCAAACATGACTAAGTTTATACCCCCCCCCCCCCCACCTCATCACGGTTCATAACGATGAATAGCACCAGATATATCGAATAAAAAATAGCTATTTCGTCGACAACCAAAGAAGTGGGAGGGGGGTCTTGGGCGTCTATACTGAATGCGCAAATGTTTGTGAAAATGAAATCCACGAGTGAATAGATTTCTTTGATGTTTGCCAGATTACTTCTTTTTCCACGAAAATAAGTCTGGCTCTTGCATAGATAATAAATGCTGTTGCATCACATCACACTACGTCATTCTGCCAAATAAGGGTAAAAGTAACCATACCTCGTCAGACCAATTAAGGTATTATTTGCTATATTCATGAATTTTTTGCACAGCTATACACTGCGTGACAATACAGTCTACTCAATACAATCGAAATGAACGGCCAGGGAAAGGCTGTCCGGCCGCCTGTCTCCGGCCACGGCCGTTCAGCAGAGTGGTTCGAGCGGGCGTGTCCTATATGAACATGTTTGTGGTGGTGGATTTTGCCGGCGTTGCGCGAGGGCCGATATTTTGCAAGGATTACTGGGCATTCCCTTCAAACCCGGAAGTAAAGTGGGTATTCGCTAAGAAGAGAAAAAAACAGTAAATTTCGATTTATTTATGTTCAGCTTGATTGATTCGCTTCAAACTTGGTCCGAACACGCGGGGGCACACTTTGGACATGACCACACACAAAAAAAAATAAGATTCATGCGACAAATCCTAGGCGTTCGTGGGCGTTCGCTAAAAAGAGAATGCGCGAGTGCACGGGTAATATTTGGCCTATAAACCATTTATCATAAGTATCTGGTACCGCGACACAGCGAGTGTAGGTACCAGAGTTGATACAGAGCAGAAGTAAGATGGAAATCGTCTCAGATTTGAGAAAAATAATGACAGCACACACACAGCTCACTCCGGGAAATCAGGTTTGTCAACTTTTACCTTTGCCCTCGATTGCTTTGACCTATGAATACGCTGTACCGCCATTTTGAGCCGTGCGTGTGGTGTCATCATTTCTCTCCAATCTGAGGCGATTTCCATCTTACTTCTGCTCTGTATCAACTCTGGGCAGTTTTGAAAGACAATGGTAAGACTTTTTGCCACCTACAGTCGCTGTGCCGCGGTACAAGATAATTCCAATCGGTGTCGTGATCGAGTATTTTGATAAAGGCAAGGTATAGTGTGTAAAACTAACTAAAAGGCAAAAAAAGTTTTAATTATTTGCAAACTTTCTCAATCTCCATTTCAACTATGAATTCAAAACAAGTACAAGTAACGTGCCGTTGTCTTTGTGGCGCACAATCGCTATCATTAGTAGTGGCGTGTAGCCATGGAAGCCTTTGGACCAGTCATAAGAAATATTTGAGATCATTTGAGCCTCAGTCTCGCCTAAGGAGACTTCAAAGTTGTTCTTACTGACTGACAATTGCGACTGGGAATGAATCACTTACGTAATCCTGGAAATTCGAAGCTAACAGCCTTCAACCGTAGGCGTTGTTGGCAAGACGAGCTAGACAAAACCGCTCCAAATTCATCATTCAGACGCCGGCCTGTAATTATATAGTGTAAAGTATAATTGGCCATTCATGCACCTTTCATTCAATCAGATTAGATAGTCTGCCGAAACGAAACAGCTCCAGTTTGGACAATATTAAAAACACGTAATATGTTGTTGTCTTTATCGTTATTGTCCAAGTGCATTGTCTTTTTAAAAATGCTATCTAATGATGATTCTTTGTTTTGTAATAAAGTAAAACCTACCGGACCGGTTTTATCCACCCACTCAGTCCCTATATAAACGCATGACTGACCACTCTGTTTCTGTCAGTACTGACTCTACAGCCGTGAGGATCTGTGTCGTCGTTAAAACATCGACCAGTACTTTGGAGTGTCAGTGCATCTTGGTAAGTGTCGACTATGATTTCGTTTTCCTATCTACGTAAGGCCAATGGCATGTTGCACTTTGCTGCATGTCACACAGTGCATTGTAGATGTGCGAAGAACCGTATGTGTGTCTACGTTATGACTTACTTTATATATTTGCCTATGTTAAACCGGCTTAGTGTCCGTTTTAGAGTAGACTCAGTAGAGTTTAGTAAAAGTAAACTAGAGACTTCATTCAGGTAGGACATCCCTCCAGGTAGCATGCCAAACCATATACTTTTAGTTAGACTATGCAACCTCTTGTCTCATACTATACTCCAAATATTTTGCCTCTTTGCAAAACGGGGTGTCTAGTCGAACCGGGATTACCGCTCCACAAAATCAACTAATTTCTATAAACCAGAACCGTTGCATGTAACTGGCATGTTCATGTGTATTTCTTAGCGTGCAGATTATACAGCATGTACATGTATAAATAAATTTCTGGACTCCGTTAAATCTGATATATTGAATTTTAAATGATTTTTTATTCATGCAGGATCAGTAGTTTAACTAACATGGCTACCAGAGCTGCATCTCATTTGACCGAAGAGGAAGAGAATAGGCGTGGAAAGCAGGATTCTACGCGTCGTCACAAGTGTAGCGAGTGCGACAAGGAGTTTCGCTTCCTGAGTTATTTGAAGCGACACATGCGGGCTCACACAGGTGAGAAACCGTATGGGTGTGAGAAATGTAACAAAAGCTTCAGTCATCATTGGAAGCTGACGAATCACATGCGGACTCACACAGGTGAGAAACCGTACAGGTGTGAGGAGTGCAGCAGGCAGTTCAGTGAGCTGGGCAGTCTGAAGAAGCACATGAGGACTCACACTGGTGAGAAACCGTACATGTGTGAAGTGTGCAGCAGGCAGTTCAGTGAGCTGGCTAATCTGAAAGATCACAGACGAATCCATACAGGTGAGAAACCGTACATGTGTGAGGAGTGTGGCAGGCAGTTCAGCACACGGAGTAACATGAAGGCTCACATGCGGACTCACACAGGAGAGAAACCTTACACGTGTAAAGAGTGCAACAGGCAGTTCAGAAGCCCGGACAATCTGAAGACTCACATGCGGACTCACACGGGCGAGAAACCGTATAGATGTGTAGAGTGCGGCAAGCAGTTTAGTCAGACGTCTGGTCTGAAGCAACATATGCGCACTCACACTGGTGATAAAAGCGTACAGATGCGATGAGTGTCCACATGCAATCTCAAACCATTCCAAAAAAACTTTCCAGTGTCCATCTAAAGATAACTATTATGTGGTATCATTTGAGTCAGTAGCTATAGCGAGGTCAGTAGCAATTTGACCTCTTATTTGGTGTTTACTTTCAGTAGTGTACGCTCCATATGACTACATTGTAAAATAACGAATGCGTGTTCCCTAGCCCGTTGATAAGAACCAGAAGTCGTGTATCAAATGCGGCTGTGGATTGTTCAGACAATAGTTACATGGCAAGAGACGGTATGTTTGACGACAAGACGCATGGTCCGTCTGTTATAGCACTTAAATAACTAGTTTTCTTTCATTTGAACTAACCACAATATACTTCTTCATTTTAAAACATTTCAAATTTAAATTTAGTTAGCAATATACATATAAAAATTTGATACTGTTTTTTTTTATTCCAATTGTTCTGTAAGATACATAATGCTAACTGTTAGAGATTTGTCAACTTTCTGCATCCCAGTTTCGCCAAAAAAATCAAAATACCCAATGTGTTGTCTGCTTTATTGATCGATTTCCTAAGGATGTTGTCTAATTTGCCCCTATGCAAATCAGCGCTGGTAAAACAATAAATTCAGATACGTAAATTGTTGTTTTTTTGTCACTAACTTCATTGTTATTTCCAAGTTGATCTCTTTCATTACGAATAATGTTGTCTGATTCTTCCCTCTGCAAATCAGCACGTTGCTTTCCTTTGTTTCATAATCGACTATAACCCACCGGCAAACATATATCTCGTCTGTCCTACATAGGAAAGAAACCGCACAACCAGTTCGGAACTGTCTGACTTTTAGTCGAACAGAAAAATGTTACATATGAAACAGATGTAACCAAATATTCGCACGATTAAGGGAAATATAGTAATTTCAGTTTTGGTGCCTTTCAATCCCAAATCATGTTTGCAAAATAATTCATATACCAGTCTCAGACACATTGGGGTGGTATTTTACCAAAATCCATGTTTACGTTTGATGATAACTGCCTATTCCACCAGGAGGCTTCGGTGATGTCATGGGTACTATTTAAACATTCAAACATGATGAACCTTCTGTTTTTTTCGGATCACGGAAACAGTACTGGTGACAACTTTAACTATCTAACCACAAGAGCAAGTAAGTATGCATCTGAAAAAAAATCCAAACGTAAAAAGTGCGTTATAGATATCTATGTGCCGACATACATATATCTTTGCTAAGGCCAACTGGCTTTGATGTCACTGTACATAATAACGAAAGTTATGATACTTGATTATCTATATGCTGTGTTAATAATGTTCCACATTAATCGTATTTTAGATAGGATCCTGGAATACTGATGTTGCATTAGGCACATGACGAATTAATACCCTCGACCAAAAACGCTCTTAAAATTTCTTTTCTAAAATTCTTGAACTCTCGAGATTCTCGAACTATTCCATACAGTTAGGCATATATTTATATCTCTTTATACAATGCATATTGTAGAGTTATTTACACTTAGGTTCCGATACTATAGTGAAAAAAAGAATATAATGTTGAAACTGTTCCGAACTGGCTGGACATATTTATTTGTATATTGTAAAATGATGAGCAAACGTTACATGTACAAGCAAATATAACTATTCAACATCATCTTTAAAGCACCCACTTAACAAATATCTTCTTCTTTTAGTTTTTTTTTTTCTTTTTCGTCTTTCCTCTACTACAATTGTAGTGACTGTAAAATGAAGCTGTTTAAAAAATATATAGCTGACAAAATTACAATATCCGGCAAGCCGTCCGTAGCTACATAATTCTGGATCTGGGTGATCAGGTTTGTGAACTTTGCCCTTTAGCCCTCGATTGGATTGACCTGTGATTTTTTTTACGACTGTCGGCCATTTTGAAATGTGCGAGGGATGTCATTTCTCTCTCCAATCTGAGGTGATTTCCAGCTTACTTCGACTCTAAACCTACTCTGGGCAGTTTTGGAAGACAGGTAAGACGTTTATGGACCTCCTGTATTCGCCGTGTCGCGGTACCACAGCAGATACTTCAATGCGTGAAATATCTATGTAGTACGAAATTGGGGAGGGGGGCTCATCGACCTAGATGTGTAGAGCATCTGATACTAGTAGTTTTCCAATTTAAATAATTACCGGTATTTCCAAACGTACTAGCCGTGGGTTTCGTAGGAATACATTAGAATATAGTGGGTATAAATAGCATGGAAATATTTTTATGCTTAGATTTCTGATGTTTCACTTTTGGTCGTAGAAAATTATGTATGAATGAAGCATGAAGACCTTTATTGATATTGTACACACATACCCACTGTAGTACAAGGATGGTATACAGATAACGTTACATATATACATCGTCAAGTAACTACAATCAAGTAAATTCGGTTTCTTCTCGTTTCTTACTACTTAGTAATGGCAAAACGGTAAGAACAGGTATGTTTCAATGTAGAAGGTTTGTCTAAGATCATTAAAAATATAAATTTATCTGTACAGCTTAGATGTTTGAAGAAGGGGAACACTGATTGTATCAGATTATAAAGTTCTACTCTTTCTTTTTTGTATAGTTTACATTCTATTACAAAATGTTTCTCATCTTCAATTCTTCCTAGATCACAGAACCGACATATTCGTTGTATTATGGACCGGATAAGCTGTGAGATTCCTTTGGACAAGCTGCCAACAGTACACCCTGGGAACGAGACAAGCAACAGTGAGAATCCGGCAACAGACACGGGAGGACAGCAGGACAAGGAGGATGACGTTCTATCGGAGGAAACGTACGGGGTGAACTCTGTCCATCCTCCCGTACAGAGTCAAACAGGGCAATCGGACCGGCCTGTGGTGAAAGGTACTATACACAAACCCTACAAATGTGACCTGTGTGACTATTCTGCTTTATGGAAAGCCCGTCTGAAGGAACACATGCCTAAACACACCGGAGAAAAGCCCTACATGTGTAGGGAGTGTGGGTACAGAACAGCCTACAAGTCTCGCCTAACTATTCATGTAAGAAAACACACAGGTGAGAAACCCTTCAAGTGTGACCAGTGCGACTATTCTGCCGCTGAGAAAGGCTCTTTAAACAAACACATCATGTCAAAACACACTGGTGAGAAACCCCACATGTGTGGGGAGTGTGGATACCAGACAACAGACTCTTCTAATCTATCAAAACACATGAGAACACATACGGGGGAGAAGCCCTACAAATGTGACCAGTGTGAATTTTCTGCTGCACAGAAAGCGAATTTAGACATGCACATGGAGAAACACACTGGAGACAAACCCTACATGTGTGGGGAGTGTGGATACAGGACAGCCTATAGGTCTTGCCTATACACGCATATGAGAATACATTTAGGTGTGAAACCTTTCAAATGTAACCAGTGTGACTATTCTGCCACACATAAACGTCATTTACATGAACACTGTATGGCCAAGCACACTGGAGACAAACCCTACATTTGTGGATTATGCGGGTACAAGACGGCCTACAGGTCTAGCATAAATGTACACATGAGAAAACATAAAAAGGAGAAACCCTACAAATGTGACCAGTGTCTCTTCTCTGCTGCAACTAAGAAGACTTTAAACCAACACCTTGCTACACACACCGACGATAAACCCTACAAGTGTGACCAGTGCGACTATTCTGCTGCACAGAAGCCATCTTTAATCAAACACAAGGCTAAGCACGCTGCTGAGAAACCCCGCATGTGAAGGTAGTGCGGATGACATTGTACATGTATCTCGTCTGATGACCTGCATAGTATCAACCATACAGGAAATAAACCACACAACCAGTTCAGAACTGTCTGACTTTTAGTGGAGCATACATATGAAAATGTTACAAATGAAACAGACGTGACCAGATCTTCACATGGTTGAATATAAATATTCAAACATCATAAACCTTCTTCTTTTTCGGATCGTGTAAACAGAGGGTGACAACTTTTACTATCTAACCACAAGAGCAAGTATGCTTTTGAAAAGAAAAACCTTCAAACGTGAATAGTGTGTCATCTGTCAATGTGTCTGACATATGTATGGCTTTGATGTCACTGTAAATAAAGATGAGAGTTATGATACTTGCTTCTGTATATGTTGTGTTAATAATGTTCTACATTAATCGTATTTTAGATAGGATCATGGAATACTGATGTTGCATTACAATGACGAAGAAATGCACTCGATCAAAAGCACTTGTTTGCCTTTCTAACATTAGACTTACCCATTTGAGAAGTGCAGCAGGCAGTTTACTGTATAGTCTTTACCAGACTAACTACCATGGCTATATATTTGCCAGGGGAGTTTGGCCGCCTTGTAGGTTTGACTGGCCGCGCAGTCGGAGGGAAAGAAACTACCTCCCCGCGGCCGGACTCCCTTTGCCAATTTTACTATGATAATCATGTTTTTTGCCGAATTCTATGATCCGTATTCCTGTAGAAAGGTCTGGTGGAGGCTAAGTTTACTGTACAGATGTGAGGAGTGTGGCAGGCATTTCACTACACCAGGGTTGCCATGTCGGATGGACTTCGTCTACGAGGTGCAAGACAATGAAAGTAGTTGGCGGACGCTGGAGAGTGAATTTATAACGCCCGCTAATTAGATGCCGGTAGATTTCAATTGGCCGACATCCTGTCGCCTGATTGGTTCTCTGGCCCAAAGCAGACCTTGCAATTGGTCAGTTTTCCGGGATTTGCAGCAAGCTCGCCACTTTTGGAGCGGTACGCAGTAAAGTGTAAACTAGGGCACTGTAGAATGGTTATATTGGGTTGACAAGTGTGCACGCTAGCCTAGTAGATAGCTTACACCAAGCACACTCGGGACTTCTGAAAAAGTCAGTGAAGACGGCTCATCTAGCCTGCAAAGAAGCGACTGGGCTTACGACGCCATGGGATGTCTTGACGACGATACAAGTTACTCGCAGCTTATAAACTCCACTACGCTGCATTAAACCATCAGAACTCGAGCCTATGTATATATATACAACTATCATTATATAAAGATAGAAAACACGCACACACTCCTACATGCATCAAGAACCATCCGCCGCGCCAAACAGCATCTCTCCTCTCACACACCCAAAGTACACTAAGGAAATCAGCTACGACGATAACGTCCGACAAAGAAAACGCACTTAATTTTGCTCAAACGTGCCCCATCTCCATATCAATTATATCAGTAGGAAAAGAGACACCGTCACTGCTTGTGTGTGCTTGCGTGAGCGTCTTGGGGTTGTCCTGTTGTTAGCCAAGTGTGGCAAAAATGTGCAATATATAGGTCGTCATTTATTGTCTTGTCTTGACTTGTCTGACTTTTGTTCCTTTTTCGACTTCCAAAAAATTTGTCTTCACTTTATTTGCATATCAATCAACAGGTTGTGTATATAAACCTGCTTTCCCCTCTGGTCTCTCAGTCACTGACGAAAGCTAGTGGATACTAGCTGAAACGTCTGACGTTTTCAAAATCATATCCAGTTGCTTGAGTAACTGTTCTTTGGCATATCGTATTACCTGGATGTCTAACCTTCATCGACGTCGTCATTTATTGTTGGAGGGAGGTGTGTATGTGTGTGGGACCGTGTTGTGAGAGAATACAGTTCTTTTGGGGATATTTGGGTGGCCCTGAAAAGGGCCGGGGTTTGTTGTGATGATGCGTCCGTCAGATGATTCTTTAGCCACCGAAGCCGTACACGGTGCGACCTTGGCGTTTGAGAGCGTAGACAACGTCCATGGCGGTGACCGTCTTGCGCTTGGCGTGCTCGGTGTATGTGACCGCATCGCGGATGACATTCTCGAGGAAAACCTTGAGAACGCCTCGGGTCTCCTCGTAGATGAGGCCGGAGATTCGCTTCACGCCGCCACGACGGGCCAGACGACGGATAGCTGGTGCACAACGTGTATAATGGTTACTAGTATAAATGACCAGATGGGACGTTAAGCTGAGGTCCACCGTTCTTTGTACTTTTTGTAAAGACGTTGCAATGACTGTCATTTGTAAAAAGTGTGGATGAGTAGCTTTAAAGAAAGCTAGTACTGAATCGAGACATTGTACAT